TTAATAGAAAAGCTTTAAGAAATATGCCGTCTATTCGATTCGAGCTTTAAGCTATCGATAGCACGAGATTATAATAAATCCTTGCAAGCAGCCAAGCAAAAGAGCGTTTTTTTAACGGTATAAATTAAAGAACACCGAGCTATTTATAAGTTAGCGAAAATAAATAACCTTTACGAAACGACGAGTATACTCGCGATAAAAGCATTTTTAAAAGCTATTAGCGAAAAATAATTATTAACTTAAGCGTCGCTAAAGCTCGCAAAAGTCATTCGAAACGACGAGCTGTTATTGCTTTAAAAGCGCACCTTTTACGATTACTTTAATTAGTACGAAAGCTAAGTCGAAAAGAAGACTAGCAATCCGAACTCTAACCTTTTTAGCGTATTCGCTACTTTCGGAGATCAAACTACTCGCAGCACTTTCGGAGTTGAAAAAGCTAACGATATTAATTTTAAACAGTCCGGTAAACGCTCCGATAGCTTTAAAAGACTTGCTAAAAGTTTTAAGTGCTCGTGCTTTAAAAAGAGAAACTATTATTAAAACGCAATCAAGTGTAAGATCTTTCGCTATTGCTTTAACGGTTTTAACGAAAGTGGATTCGCAAAGCCGAATCGAAATAATATCGTCGCTATAAGAAAAAAGCTTTAAAAGCTTAAGTTTAAAGCGCTTTAAAAAGAGATCACGAAAGAAAGTTAAGTATAAATTCAAGTCGATAAGATCGTTTCGAAAAGCAAAAAAAAGCAATCGAACGATAGCGATAAGTTAAAATACTTTAAAAAAGTATTAGCAGCTATTATCGATCTTAAGCTCTTTAGCACGCTCGATAATCTTGTCTTTAACGGTCTTTATAATACGGCTGATAATAAGCACTAGCTATTTAATAGCATTCTTTTCGATAATTGCGGCGCTATTTACTTTATTAACGATAAGAATCTTTTAAAGCTAAAGTCAATTTAACGCTTTCGCTTAACCGACTTTATCGAAGCTAAAACGAATAGCCTTTTAATCGTCGAGCGAAGTACTAAAGTCTTTAAAAGAGCTTTAAACGGATTAAATAAAGCTAAGACGAAAGATTTGAAGTTAAAAAACGTCGCTATCGTTAAAAGGTTTAATATTAATATTATTTCAAAAGCTCTTTTAAGCAAAGCTAGCGTATAGTACTCGGGATATGACGCAACTCTCCGCTACGGAAAGGTTAAAGAAAGCGTCGTGTTAAGAAAGTTAAAGAAGAAGTTTAACTTTACGTTTTTTAAATACAAGTTATTTAATTATTTTTTATTTTAATTGATTCGTAGCTCCTTTTGCTTAATAATGTTCTTTACAACTTAAAAGCGCTTGCAAATACGTTATAAATTCTAAAAGAGCAATGTCTTCCGAGTTTTAAAAGAAGATTCATCGATACTTTAGCATTTACGGATAAGTCATTTAAGCAAAGAAGCGCTCGAGGCGCTGACTTATAACGCTAAAAAAGTAAGACTTAAAAGAATTACTAAAGTTGAATATAAAGCATATGCTATTACGCACGCTTAACAAGTCATATCTCGCCGCACGTTAAACAACAAAGCAGCTAAGCTATTTTATAAGATCGCTTAAGATCTATTTGACTTTCTTAACGGTTTTAATAAAAGCAAATGATTATTAATAATTAAAAATAAATATAATAAGAAGCTATTCGGCTTTATATTAAAAGACAAGTTGCAATTGACGGTTACGAAAGTGCTAAAGGAATTTAAAGCATAAACGAAACGCAAATACGGTTTTTCAATAGCTATTATGCGTTATAATAACGATTCTTCGGTAATCGCAATCAACGTTATTAGCTTTATCGAATATTAAAAATAAGCGAAAGAGGTTAAGATCGAATTGAAGCTCTTATTATCTTTTAATCACGAACTTAATAAAGGAGCTAAAAGGGTTAAAAGAAAGGTAATAGAACGGTTTATTAAAATAAAAGTAAAAGCAAGGCTCTTAAAGAAGCTTTAGCTTGAAACTATACTAGCCGCTATTTATTTTTACAATATAATACCGAGAGCTAAAAGCTTTATAAAAAGTCCGAATAAAGTGCTATAGCTTTAGTTCAAGCAATATTTTAAGTAATACGATCCGGCGATCTTTATACGGATCGACACCGACTTAAGATTAAATTATAACGGTTTAGTTGCGTATAGCGCTCGTGCGTATTTAATAATCAAAGACCGAGAAGCTCTTCGCAACAAAAGAGCTTTTAAAGTTAAATTAAAAAGATATATAAGCTATTTAATTAGATATATAGCTTTTAATATATACAAGGTCTATATTCTTGTGCTTTATAAAGTAATTGTTATACGCAACGTAACGTTCGATAAGACTCAATTTTATCTTAAAAACGAAAAAAAATCGGTCGGCTAACCGATTAGCGAAATCAAGAGCATCGTTATTAAACTAAAAGATATTAAAAACTTTAATCAAATAAAAGACGCTTTATTTAATATAAAGAACGTTGTAAAAGATCGCTTAGAAAAGACGAATGCAGCTGATATAAAAGGTAAGCAGCCGTTAGACTTTATAAAGGTTGATTTAAAAAGATCTAATTAAAGCTTAAAGAATGCGACTTTATTTAATCCGAGCGATGCATAAACGTTAAAAGCTTTAACTTTAATTAAAGACTTTATAGATACGTTTATACTAAAGGCAATTGCTTTACGAAACGATCTAATAGACTTTAACGATTCGAACTATATCGTTAAACGTTTCGCCAGCTTTTTAGCTAAGAGTAAAAGCGAAGGTGCTTTAAGACTATTAAAAGCAAAGAAAAGCATCGTAAACGAGCAAAAACCTAGCTTTAATAAAGGAGCGCGCAAATCATACCTTTAAGTTATTATTTAAAGCCGAGGCCCGGAAAGCTAAGTTATAAGCCGACTAACAAAAGCTTTTACGTTAACAACCGATAAAGATTTAAACCGAACAATTAAAAAAAAGTCTTTAAACCTTTTTAAAGCGAGCACTAATAATAAAAAATTAAATTATAAATACTCTAGATAAAATTCCGACTTTAATAAAAAGCATTCACTTATTAATAGCCGCATTAGAAAACGCGCGAGGATATACGCAAATGTTAATAAGCTTTTTTTAAACAACTTTCGCGCTGATTCGAACCGCTATTCGCGCGTTTTAAATTTTATATCGACTTTTTAAGCTAATAGCGAACTCGTGCGCGAAAATAGCAAAGATTACGAGATATTGCACGCTATTATAGCAGCTGCTACTTCGTTTAAGTTATTATTAAAATAGCTTAACTCGTAAGAACGAAAACATTTAAAACCTTTTACTTATTAAAAAGAGCTATAACGACACTTATACGGCAAAGAGTTTAAGGACGGAGTTCTTATAAAGCTAAATAATCTAAAGAAAAGGAACTGTTAAAGAGTGATTCTCGAGAGCGAAGCTAAGTCAAAACTTATACCTTTTAAATAAGTGTTTATATATAAAATTAGCTCGTTTAAAGAGATCGTAAGGTTCAGATCGAAGATTGTTATTAAAAGTGATCTTTAAGACGAATCTACTATCTATTCAATTTACGCGATTACGCTAGCAGCTAAATCTTTTAAGATCATAATAGCTATAGCAGTCGAATTTGATTTAAAAGTAAAACAATTCGATATCGTTAACGCTTTTATTAACGCTATAAGATACACGGATAGCGTTTTAATTACGTATTATCTTCTTAACGGTTTTAAGCAAAAAAGTATGCTCGTAAAGGTCGATAAAGCTTTATATAAACTTAAAGATTCGTTAGCTTTATAGTATTTCGACTTCATAAGTATACTCGACAAATTAAAGCTTATATTACTCGATAAAGAACCGTGTATTTTTACGAATTTAAACAAGACGGTCTTTATAGCGTTTTACGTAAACGATATTCAAGTTATATACTATTACTTTAATCTTTTTAAAGCGCAAGAGATTATTAACGATCTTAATAAAGCGTATAAGATCGAAGCGATAAGAGATATTAAATGGTTTCTTAATATAAGAGTCGCTCGAGACCGTTAGCGAAAAACGCTAACGCTTATGCACGACGTTTATATTAAAAAAATAGCTAAGAAATTCGAACTCACGGACGGACGCTACTTAGCAACTTTATTACCGTTTTATAACTTAATTAAAAATAAAAAGATAGCTTCGCGGAAGCAAGTGAAAGAGTATTAAAAGAAAGTTAGATCCGTATTATATATAGCGATCATGCTACGCTTAAATATAATTTTTGCAACCTTTTAATTCTTTTATTTTAGCATTAATTTAAGCGCGGAGCACCTTCGAACTATAAATTAATATTTGCGATATTTATTTAGCTCGCGCTTTAAAAGTATTTAATATAGTTAATTTAGCAAATCAAAGCTAGTAATAGCCTTTAACGCTTTTTACGCCGATAACGAAGAGATAAAGCGATCTTCTTAAAGGTATATTATGTTTTTGTTCGAAAATGCGATCTTTTAAAAAGCTTTAAAGCAAGATACAATTATTATATCATTTATTAAAGCGGAGCTTCTTAGCATAGCCTTTATAATAAAGGAAATTATAGCGCTCTAACGGTTTTTTAAAGAGCTGCACTTTCGTTTTGCGGCGCTTTAAGTAGTCTATTATGATAATCAATAAACAATTAAGCTTATAACTAATAAGAAAAAGCGTATTTTTATTAAGCTTCGCTACGTCGATATTTATAATATATAGCTGCGCTAAAAGCACTTTAAAGAGAGCTTTTAAATTCAATATCTCTTTACTAAAGAGATATACGTTAACGGTTTTATAAAAAACTTGACTCGATAAAAGTTTAAAAGCTTTATTAAGCTTTTAAATTTATAAGACGCTCGCGCGTTAGTCGAAAAGCTTTAATAACACGTATATGCTATTCACTTATTACATTTTATTTTTTTTATTTGCACGTGATTTAAAGGAAAACATTTATTTAACAATTTTAACCGTTATTTTATTTTATTTTATACGCCTTTACCTTTCGCCTTTTATAATAAAAGATCGATTAGAGCTCTTAGCAATCTTTTTACTTTAGCCCGGCGCTTCGCAAGAGTTATAACAACGGCGAGCGCCGCCGCGAGAGCGGTAAGCGCAACGATTAGCGTAAAAAAGGCGACGATAATAAATGCGACGAGAGCGACGGGAGCTGCGAGGGCGACGGGATCAGCGAGGGCGACGGGAGCAATAAGGGCGGCTAGCGCAAGCGCAAAGGCTGCTATAATAGCAGATTAAAGCTTTTGCATAAAGTCCGAAAGGAAGTTCTAGTTAAAAAGAGCTGCTTTAATTAGATTATTTCGTAAGTTAAAAAGCTTAACTTACGAAAGAGTGATATGCTCGAAGCATTCCGCGTCACCGGACCACGGTTCGTTATTATAAGACTATTCAATCTAACAAAGGCTACATTCAAATTAAAAGTCTTAAAAGCAAGAGCAAAACTTGCAAGGCTACCGAGATTATTTTTAAAACTTTTACTTTTACTCGCTAGACCGCTCGGACTACTAGCAGCACCTCTTGAAAGGGCAGCATCTAAAGCGAGCTATTATCGCATAACATCTCGAAGACTCCGACGAACTTTTTGTATAATATTATTGTCTTTAGCGCTTACGAAGTTATCGAAAGCGGTATTAGCAGCGGCAAAAGTAGCGATGCAATTGCTATAGCTACCTTTAATACACCGGAGATAGCGTATAACGCTCGTGTCGCAATTATAGCAATCTTTATTAAATTTCGATATGATTTTATTATTAATGCACTTGATGTACTTTAAAGCTTTAACGGTCGTCGGCATAAGCAAGCGCTTAATAAGAAGGTCTAGAAGAGAGGGCGAAGGTTCGAAAGTAAGAGTACGAAGTATAACCGCCGCCGCCGCCGCAGCTATAACAGCAGCGATAGCTAAGGCGGATAAAGGATTCTTTTAATAATTAGCATAGAAATATTAATTTGTTAAGAGTACTTATTCTTAAACGGCCTCGGCCGCGCTTAACGATTCTACTAGACTAAGTTACTTGCTTAAAAGGCATTATGTAAATGGATAGAAGTTAAGTGTTTATTATAATAAAAAGGAACGCGCTTTCACTTATATAGCAACGCGATAAAGACGGCGCTAAAGACTTCCGCTACGTAATAAAACCGACTTAAAAAAGAATTGCATTCTTGATTAATACTTAATTAATAATAATAACCGCTATATGTTTGTTTGAATTGCGATAACAATCTCTTTTGTTTATATCGAGTTTAAAAAGCTTAATTACTTATTTTTTTCTTTTTTATTTGCTTGCAGCTTAATAGCTACGCTGCTAATTTAAAAAGTGTGTTATGCGGAACAAGCATAGTTCTACTTAAACTATATATGACATGTCATATGACCTCGCTTAATAGCGCTTTTAGCACATTAAAGCTCTTAAGTACATGTATATAGATCTTGACGAGCTTCTTAAATAGAATATACCAAGCTTTATTCAATCTATAGAATCTCTTCCTGATCTTAGTGCTAGTAAGCACTATATTAGCTTATTGATTTTCGGCTATATCGCTATTAAGAAGCTATCTTCGGAAAAGGAATAACGATTAGTCCGAAAATCAATAATACTAAGCGAGCTGAAATTAGTAGTTTGACTGATTTATAAACGAGTTTTCTAAAGAAACTGAAAACCTTTTTTATAAATCTAATTGAGCGAAAACTTCGGTAATAATAATAACTTCCGGCGTAGAGTTTTATTACTGCACTAGGCTAAAGGTTCTATTCTTTATTATAAGACTAGTTTGCAGGCTAGTTAATAGATATTAGAAGAATAAATATATATATATATAAATATATATATTAATAGAATATATTTCTATTAAAAATCCGCTATCAATCAAGATGGCTAGCTCTTTTAAAAGAGATAAATTAATTGGTAAATCAAATTACTAAGAATATATTACTCCCGCAAATCTTTTTTTAGAGATTAATGGCTATATGCCTTATATTGATGGCTTTAAAGAAAAGCCTAATAAAGAGCTTTATTACGCTAAAGCTAAGAATAGTGAGGAAGCTATTACTTGGACCTTTTATTCATTTGAGCTAGCCGTAAAATATTTTGATAAATTAAGCGAATTCGAAGAAGCTAATAAAAAGGCTTTGGGAGCGTTAAAATTTATAATATCGCTTGAAAATCAAAAGGGATTTAAAGATAAAACTAGCGCTGAGGATCTATATGACGCTATAAATAAGACTTATAACGATACAAGGCTAGAGGAAGTAAATCGATACGTATATAAAATAGTCGAAACAACTTATAGCTCTTATAAAAATATAAATGAATATACTAATATTATTCAGTTTAGCGCAATTTATTTTAAAAAGATGAATTGCGAAATTCTTAAGCTAGTATTAGCTAGCTTTATATTTAAGGGTTTACTTAGCTCTTTTGATAGCTTCGCTTTTAGAAAATTTGTGGAAATATCTAGTAACCTTAAAGAAGTAGATATCGATTCGCTTATTTCTGATTTATTATCAGAAGAGGCCCGAAATAAGTATTAGCGCGGATTTAAAAGCAAATAAAGCGTTTAATAATAACGCTAAATATTGCTCGCATTATAAGCAAAAGGGCCATTTAAATTTAACTCGTTTTAAGTTGCACCTCGAACTAAAACCGAACTTTAATAAAAAGCTTAATAATAATAAAGCTAAATCGGCTAAAGATAAAAACTTCAAAAATAGCTTTAGTAAAGCATTGATAAGTGCTTTTACTAATTCTAGCTCTAATAATGAATTAAATCACTTTGGCATAGCTTATTCTATTACGAATAATAATAAATTCGTATTAGATTCAAGAGCCTTAGAGCATTATTCGCTTAATAAAGCTTGGTTTATAAATTATAAGCCAATAGCTAAAAAGTTTATAATTATCGCTAATAGCGATATTATGCCTATTTTAAGCATAAGTAATATCCTTATCAAGTCGAAAACAAGCTTAAAGATTATAATTAAAAACGTCAATTATATTCTTAAGCTAAAAACGACCTTAATAAGTTTAAAAGAGCTTACAAATAAAGACTAAGCTATTAATTTCGATCGAAATAAAGCTAAAATCTCTTACGCTTCTTTCAAACTTTATATTAACGTAAAATAAGCTAACAACGCTTATTTTATAAAAGTCGAAATTAATAATAAATACTTAGAACCTCTATTATTTAAAGTAGATCCTTTTGTGACTATTAAATTAAGCTTTTATTATAAGCGCTCATTGCACGTAAATAAAGATTTTGTTTTAAAAACAATCGATTATAGCGAAAGTCTTTTTAAAGCTATTAAATAAAATCTTGAAAATTGTAAGTCTTGCGTAAGTAGCAAATTATTTAAATAAATAATAAAAAGCCTATGTCAAACTCATCCCTTTTAATTGCTTTCGATATAAATATAGCAAGGCCTTTTAAAACTAAAAGCTTATTAAAGGAACGATTTTCGTTACTTTCACGTACAAAAGTTCTAAAGCCATTTGGCTATACGCTTTAAAATTCAAAGCTAACGTATTCGATCGATTAGTTGAATTTTATAATATGATTACAACTCAATTCGATCGAAAACCTAGCTTTAATACAAAAGTATTCAAATTAGATAACGCAAGAGAATTCACTTCGAATAAATGGACTACGTTTTATAAAAGCAAAAGTATAATTTGCGAATATACTAATCCTTATTCACCTTTTTAAAACGGTATAGCCGAACGATTAAATCGTTATTTAATTGAACGTTTAATAAGCGTATATAAGGATAGAGATATACTTTCATTTCTATAGCCTTAATTATTGCAAGTAATAGCTTATATAAAAAATCGTTCTTATAACTCGGTGATTAAAAAAGACCCTTTACGAAGCTTTTTACGGCAAAAAGCCTTATATAAGCTACTTTAAAATACTAGGTTCTCTAGCTTATATATTAAAAAATAAGCGAGACAATAAATTAGCCGATAAAGATAAAAAGAGGCTATTAGTTGGTTTCGAATCAGCTAATAATTACTTAATCTATCTTCCGAGTAAAAGAATCGTAATTAGTTTAAAAAACGTTATTATTAAAGAAGACCTTAAATTTAAAGACGAACTAATTAACGAAAAGAGCGATTATTTCGATATAATCGAAGAAGAATTACTTTTTATTAAAAGCGATGATGATTTTACTACTAGTATTAAATTAATCGATAATACTAATAATAATCAGCCGAATATTAGCTAGCCGAAAGTGGTTAAAATAAAAGATAAAGCTTCAGATCAACTTTATTTTGACGACACTGAATCTTGCGTTAGCGATGCTCTTAGTGATTTAAATAAAGATAATAATCTTAATGGGACTATTATTGTAAAAGCGCTTAAGGCTCTTAAAACTCGAGGCCCGTCGAAAGATTACTCCGATCAAAGATCAAACGTAATTATTAAATCGAGTAAAAATAACTCTTTTAATTTAGCTATTAAAAAACTAAATAATCGATTAATCGAAGAGCAAATACAAGCTATGTCGGTTTACAAGAACGTAACTCTTCTAGCTTGAATAGCTTTACTTAGCTTTAAAACTGATTAAAATCTCGATTAAAGGCTAATTAAACTAGGCGATAAAAATAGTTTTAAAGTAACTATTAAAAAATCCTTTATTAGCACTCCGCCAATAGAGCTTAAAAGTTATGAGGAGGCTATAAACTCAGCCTTATATAAGGACTACTGGCTTAAATCTATGTAAAATGAAATAAATTTATTAGAAAGCTAAAATACTTGGAAAGTAGTAAATAAAAGCGCTAATACTATTAAACTCTTGAAAACTCGATAGGTTTATAAAATTAAGCAAGGTATCGATACTTACGAATTTAAATCGAGGTTCGTAGCTAAAGGATTTAAGCAATTATATAGCTTAAACTATATAGATATCTTTGCTAGCGTTGTCAAACAAATGGCTTGGCGTTTAATTTTTGCGCTAGCTGTTTTATATAGTTGGTTTATATATAAAATCGATATGATATTAGCTTTTACTTAAAGCGATATTGACTTAAAGCTATATATAATTCTTTTAATAAGAATCAATAGCTTTAAATACGCGAATAAGCTATTGATGCTTAATAAAGCATTGTACGAGCTGAAACAATCAGCTCGCTTATGGTTTATCACGTTAAAAGAAGTGCTTATACAAAAATTCAGCTTTACGCCTTTACTAGCTAATAGCTGTATTTTATATAATAAAGAGCTAAAATTAATTATTAGCGTTTACGTTGATGATTTAGGAACACTTATTAGTCCGAATATCGATACAATAAAATCCTTTATTAAAGAACTTCAAAAGTACTTTAAATTAAAGGATTTAAGGCTAATAAAAGACTATTTAAGTATCGATATCGAATACGATATTAAACAAGGCTATAAGCTGCTCCATGGGGCCCTATGGGGCCTTACGGAGTTTTGAGTCCTCTTTACGGGGGAACCTACGGGGGGTATAAAATTCTGCCCTCTTTATAGGGAAACCTTATAGGGCGTGGGGTTACTTTATAAGGTTTATATATATATAAATATGCATATGCATATTTATTAATTAGGTTTATTAATCACATTTACTAATTACATTTATTAATTACATTTATTAATCATATTTACTAATCATATTTACTAATTAGAGTATTAGTTAAATTTATTAATTACAAAGGCTTAAAGGTTGGTAAAGACCCGTTCAGATTCTTTAGTTTAAGTTTATTAATTATAAGGAGTTGATAAAGACCCGTCATTTTGCAGTTACGTAGAATACGTTTAACTCGGTCTTCGCTTTTAGCTTAAGTTCTTGCTTGTAAGTATAGTTTAGATAAATCTCGTTTGATTTAAATAGTTCTCTTAGCTTTTAGCACTTCTTATTCTACTTAAACTCATTTTCATCCGAGAACTTAAGGGTAAAGCGTTTGTAAGCTAAGGTGCTATCGATAATAAAAAGGTATAGCAGCAATAGCTTTTCTAAGATGCTTTTAGCTTCGGTATGATCGCTATCGAAAAGCTTAAGAGTAAGATTACTTAAGATCAATCGAACCTTAACATCTTTATAAGTGAATTGCTTTCTAATTTGGTTAAGGAAAGAAATAAAGTGGTCGAAGAGATAAAGGACTTAAGCGTTCTCTTTTTAAATAAAAAATCAATTAATGATCATAATATATAGATGTTATTATTAACCTTGTTAGCATCGTAATGCTTAATGCCGAATTCGTTAACAAAACCTTTGCGACTTTTCTATTCGTAATCGAGGCCGATTAATCTTAAAAATAAAGCGGTATCCTTTTCGTTATAGCAAGTAAATATTAAATTAATAACGTTACTATTAGCATAAACGACTACGAAATCTTTATAGCGATTAAGTATCTCGTTGATTAGCTGGTTGCTATCGGTGCTAAAAAGGTTGATTTCGACTATAGCGTTATAAGAAGAAGGAATCGACATTGCTAAATAAAGAAAATAATTAGCTTAAAGCAAGGAATTAAAAAGCAAGGAATTAAAAAAGTAAAATAATTACTGAAGTTAAATATAGTTGTAATTAAGTGTTGAGGTTGGTTGAGAAGTTAAGTATTAAGGTTAAGAAGTTGGGTGTTAAGGTTAAGAAGTTGAAGTTGAGTGTTAAGGTTGAGTATTAAGGTTAAGAAGTTAAATAGAATGTAATTGTAGTAATAATGAAAAAAAGAAAAGGAAAAGGAAGAGGAGCGAGTATTTATATAAAAATAAAAGTGTAGCTTAATTGTAGTCGGGGCATTGCTTTGATTTAATAAAAGTGAATTATAATATTTAAAACACGAACTCGACGCGGAAGAAAGAAAATAACGCGTCGCTTAATGATAATCGATGCAATGCTTCGATTTAATAAAA